ACCAAGGGTAATTGAACATGAAATTACAGAATATCTCACTAAAATCTGAGAATCATAAAGTAGTAGAACCAAAAAGTGGTCTAGCTTCAACTGACTCAGGATCTCAACCATTGAAATTACTATAATATCCACAGAAACCCCTTCTGACATAAAGTAAATAGTTAGTTTGCAAAATTTCAATCAATTGTCTCAAACTTGATTGTTAACTCCGCAAATATTAGTCCATCGTCTCAGCTTTCATTGTTCCTGCATTTTCATACCAATTGTCTTTAGTTCCGTTCTTTCCTTTTCGATCTACTGAAATACTACTTGTATGGATATAAGTTGCTCACACCACAGTATTTCCACCAACTGAAATGGTTGAAACATCTGTTGTACATACCCATTCTCTAATTAATTTGGCGCACTATACTGGTTAATATAGGAATAAATGATAAGAATTGTCAGCTTAACATGTAGTAGGAGTCACTAAATTCTAGTTTAAGTCATCTCGAAAATCACAGACTTATTTTTTAAAATAAATGTTGTCCGTATTAAAATGTGTTTGAATGATGCAACTCATATATCGTAATAATAGAATACATATATTGATTCTGATGGAGTTTTGTTCTCTGAGCTGGATAGTTTGGTCGTGGAGCTGTCATTGTTCTTCTGAACATCATCAGCACAAACTTCAGATAGAAGTGAAGTGTTCGAATTAGCAGTCAAACGCCATGATATTTCTTCACTTATATCAATACAAGTGGACAACTGCGGACACTCATTTGATTGGAAAAATGTGGAAGTCGTGGACAGAGGAAATTCTAAAAACACAAGAGAATTTTTAGAAGCCTGGCACTCAGGGCAATCAGCAATCAACAAACATATTGAAATCGATCCGATTTATCAACCAATAAGGAAAATTATGCACAAATATAGGAACAAAAATCAAACCAATGGGAGACACAATCAAAACAAAGAAGTAAACAATGACAAATTTAAGGTCAATAAGAACCAATCAACATCGAGTTGTACAGGACAAGCTGTGAACCGCATATGAAGAAATTCGAGAACTTCACTTCTATCTGAAGTTTGTGCTGATGATGTCGTTCAGAAGAACGATGAAAGCTTCACAAACAAACCATCCAGCTCAAAGAACAAAACTCCATCAAAATCATCCACCTGAGCTACAAATCTCCACATATTGCTTATTCTCTAGTAAACTGTAGACAAACTTCTTTATTTTTTCTTTTCTTTTCATTTACTACGTGTGATATCTTTCTTTTTTTAAAGAAAATTATTTACTTGTCTTTATGATTGATGTTAATATTTTGTTTACTTTTCTTGTACTAATATAAAATAGAATAACCTAGATTAATACACATTTCTATTAGATTTCATATTTATATCTGTCACATGAAGCCTTAACAATTAAAAAAAATTTTTTTTCAATTGTATCACAAAATCTTGTATTTTTGTTTTCTTTTTTCTTTTGGTCAAAGATTTTTCAAGATATTCGTCATACTTACTTATTTTAGTGTATTACATTCGTCTTGTCATATGCATACATCATATATATATAATCTTCAATAATCTCCGATATCACTTTACTTCACTAATTAATCGATTAATGTATCAAGTAAAAAAAAATGTAAATGAACAATAACCAAAAACAATATAGATGGAAATAGATAATAAACTTGTTGTAAATAACCTTAATATTATTCATAGAAATAATTATTTATTTAAATTAACTATCAAGTATAAGTTTGAAGAATCACATTGTGCATTATGTCTAATCAGTAAAGTATATGAATTATTTAATAATTCATTATTGTTATTTTTGTTGATTATACATAATACTTGGTATACTTATTCTGCTAAATATCTTAATTAAGTGAATTATGCAAGTATAAATAACCTTAGATATGAAACAACCAACTCCGTCGGTATGTATACACTCATATATATATGCATGCGCATCATTTTCATATCTTGTTCATTAGTGAAACTCATTTGTGTAGGCTTTATTTTGTAAAGAAATAAAAAGATATTAGAGAGAAATAATACAAACTATATCTTATCAAATTACTTCTTATCCAAATATAAATATTCATTACATTTAGTTTAATAAAGTTTAGTTAAATTATATTTTATATATTTTCTAATCTATTTGAGAATAAAACGATTCAGTTGTTCCATTAGCATTTTTAGTGTAATAATTCTGAATTACTCATATAAAGTATAATTACCATTTGAATTCTATTACTAGTCATAATTAAATTATATCATAACATGATACTAATAAGTAATATTAAAGTAATTTGCTCAAGATGTATATATGTTAATGGTGAATGATGACTTTAAGTCTTTAATATTAAGTTAATTTATATCTGTTTAACAGGTTATTGACTTTCTGAACTCAATAATTCTGTATATAACGTGTTGTCATTTGAAATGAAATGTTTTTGGTTCAAAATTCAGTGTGGATATCATCAATGGCATACATGTGTAGGGAAAAATGTACTTCCTGGTTTCCATCATTAGCCACAAAATAACAATACTAATAATTGTGTGTATTTGGCAGATGAATAAAATGTCTTGTGGTATGAAAGTTTTTAATTTTTAGCTAACCTAAATGTCAACTGGTTTGGACAAATAACAATAAGCTATCATAAATACAATAATAAATAAGTTGCCTTATCTCATCTCACTGTTCAAAGTATTTAACTACCAACTACTGAACTACAGATACAAATGTCACTACAATTACATTAGCTTATGTAAAGAGATAGTTTTTCAAAGACTGCCGTATGTAATGATTTCCATTCAAAACTGTCGACATAAACCTGTACTTAGCATCAATATGATATTCTTTGGAACTTCCGGTAATAAAGCATAGATGTTTACACTTAACAATCTTAAGGATTATTGGCTTGCTCTTCATTAATTATATCTGTTTTATTCTTTTCTGTGTTGTTTGAGGATTGCTGATAGATTAATAAATTCATTATTGATGAATAAAAGTTTTTCACTAAGTGTATTTCATTCACTCAACTAGTAAATTAACCTCACTTATGATGTCCAAATGTTATTTCTTATAAATTCAATTTTTTTGGAAAGGTTATTTTCGCTCTAATGATTTTAAATGATTATATGTTCATATCCATTATACTCAAGCCTAGTATTTCTCATTCAAGTTGTGACTTGCCCAAACAATGGGCAAGTCACAACTTGATCCATATAGTAATGGGATTTAATTATTTTTTGATCCTTTTTGGATTAAAAATGTAGAGCTCTTACTCCGAGTATATTGTTTATTTTGAGTACTGGTCAGATCTTGTTAGTATTCACGGAATAAGTTATATTACCTGAATTTCCTAGTGTGTCTTGAATTTCAACTCAAGTGAATGAGAAGTAATCAGATTAAAGCATTGAAATTTGTACGTCACTTTGCAAGGTACTTTTTTAAGCGTCTACTAGTATTTCGAATGTTATTCAATAGGGTTCTCAGTTATTTGATTAAAAGTTGTCTAGAACAAGTGAACTAAATACGTTCCGTTTATTTTTAACAGGGTCATAATAGCATTTAGACAAGGTCACTTAATCTATTTCTTAGTTGAGACAAACAACATTTTAAGCAAATGTTCTCTTACTCTGCTAACTTAATTTTAACAAACAATACTTTTTACATGGATAATATCAATAATCGAAAACTATATTCCAATGATCCAATATAGCATTTCAGTTAGACAGATGTTGTAATTGCTCTCTTATTATATTGATCATCAATACCATCAATTGAAGTTAGTTAGTTTTCTCTATGTGGACAGCATGGCTAAGTTATCTCAATTTGTGAGGATTAAAAGTTTTATTAGTCAGTTGATAATCTCGTTATAAATGAACAATAACCAATATTTGTTATACTCTGCTATAATATTTCACTGGTGGAGGGACGAAAGTTACATTCGTACTATTTAACAATTATGTATCGTTTGGGAATACAACTAATGATTTCATTATGTTTATTTATGCACTATGTTTTTATATTGTAGTATACGAACACTTTTCAATGTACTTTAAGTGAACAAATATGTGATTGTCACTTTCGACCTGGTTTCTAACAGCAATTTTATTTATTCTAGTATTTAATGAGTATAAAGACTTTTTCTGTATGATTATTACAATTCATAAATTTATTATGTAGGCATTCAGTCATGACTGAAATTTATTAGCATGGTTTATTCATATTGGTCTATTCTCTCTACATTTCACTGATCACTTCAATTAAATAAATTGATTATTCAAATAATCATTGTCTATTTGAAAGATTAATGTATAATGATCTCTTATTGGTATTTAATTTTAACCAATTGATTATGTTACCATAGAAATACAAAATTATACAATTTTTATCGTAATTTTATTGTGTGTGATCTTGGAATTTCTTTTTTTTTTTTCACAAGTTCTGATAAACTCAAGTTTATTAACTAGATAAAATTTATATCGTTAAATAAACTCGATTCAAATATTTACTATTACACTTTAGTTAAAAGTGAATTTTTATTGCTTTTGGTAGTTGATTTTGTATAAATTTTATAAAAATGTAAAGTTCTTTCCATTACATTATAATGTCAATTAAAGAAAACTTGTTAATCACATGTTACTAAACTGGTGGTTTGTTTTAAGTCTAAACTTTTCATTAGTAAACATATATCATTGAATATTGAATCAAACTCTAAACCCTTTAAGTCTCTTAATAAGCACTGTTCCTTTAAGTTATTATATTGAAATTGCTTTGTTAACAATTTTAACTGTCATTTTGGATTCGATCAAATGTAAGTTAATAAGTGCTTTGTGTTGAGTCATGTAAAACTAGAATAAAAGAAATTGTTCGATTTTTAGTACTTTTATTCAATTCTCCAATTGATGGTAATTTATGTTAAAAATGAATTTCAAGTTAATATTTGCAATGAAACTTTCAAATACAACATATTACAACACTTTTTTTCTTGATCTAGATTTCAAATGACAGTTTTTTATCAAATGAATCAGAAAAAATTAAACTTGGAACTATTGACGAGATGACCATTCAATCATCTAGTTATCCATCATCTATGGTTTCATTATCACAAAATAATAATTCACTAACAAGTATTCGTAATAGTTCACCAGTATATAGTAATAAATCAAGAAATGATAAGATAAATGGTGCTTTATCTGTTCAACATAGTCCTCTATCTATTGAATCTAAGAAGTCTGTTCAACAAAACAATCATCAATCAATTATAAGTGATATTGATTCAGATATAATTAGTAATAGATCAACAGTAAATGGAGGACGTCGGCGAAATCAACAAAAAGATTTCCTAAGTTTTAATGCACGTGCAAAAATAGTGAATGAATTGTAATTAATTGATATTGTTTTCAAAGTTTTAAATCATAGAAACAGATATTGTTTATTTGACCAAATCAAATTATCAATATATGTCAATATAAGCTACTGATTGAACTAATATTTGTCAAAAGTTTACAAGAGAATTTTTCTTTTATAATTTGTATTACCATCCTATTATTTGTTACTTTTCTTATCATTATTTTCTTCTATCATTACTTTAGTCACATTAATAATGATTTCATTATTTTGTATAATAAAAATTTTTAATTATGAATCTCTGTTTTGCCTATAAGATAAAATCTCCAGTTTTAAGTGATAAAAACTAGTATCGAATGCTCACTTCGAAATATAATCAAGAAGAAAGAAAATGTTTGGATGAATATTTATTACATTCACTAGTGAAATGAAAGCAAGAAGTGAAGAAAAATGTTTAACTATGTTTTAGTTACTTATAAGTAGCACTGTTTGACGACGCATCAAAAATGTCACTGAGAGAATGTAATTTCGGTACAAGAATTGTGATACAGAGAAGAGGTTAAATTTTATTATCCTAAAATGCCGACTGAAAATAACATACAAATGCTTTTTTTCGGAAATTAGACTTTAGTTTAAAAACGTTCATTACGACTCAAGAATAAAATATTGATTTAATTTAATGCTCAATCAACGAACTTTTGAAAATTTTAACTGAGATATATTTGCAAATTTTGCTTGAATGATGTTTCATCTTCAGTCTAAGCATGTTTTCAAAAGTGTAGTTTGAAATGTGAATTTCGAAAGCGAACCCTGCGACCTCAAACGGTCAGATTTTATTTGGATTCGTAGTAACATTGCTATCTTCCTAGGCAGTGGTGAACAATGGCTAGCAGTGGAATCCAGGACTCACGTTTCGTCCTATCATGGACTCGTTAAATGTTTGTACTTGCATCCCTAAATTGATGTTCACTTCGGAACGTGGACCCAGTACCGTTCGCCTTAAACGCCATCAAATTATCCAGTTAGCTTCTGAGTCTAGATATCCACTAGCTTGTACATTGGTGTGAAGTTTAATACATTTTCGTTCACAAGTAGGTCTAGGCTAGACCACCATTGGAAACCTGGAAGCACTGGGCAGCCGTTTCTTCCTAGTACGGGACTCCTAAGCAGTACGCACCCACGTCCAGAGCTTCCAGGTTTTGAATGGAGGTCTAGCTTAGATCGGCTTGTGAATTCAAGTTTTAAAATGCTACGTTCTCCACAAATCCTTACACACATGATTTGGTATTGGAAAGTGGCTAGCACCATCCATGTCTGCTTAAATGCTTGTGACTTAGGGCAATATCTAAGCAATCCGCACATGATGGACACATGCCAGTAAGAGACCGATCAATTGTATTTCTAAACGTCAATCGAGATATTCATACAACTAGTACTATTATGAATTGCCTTTTGTGGATACTCGCGGGTTATATTTATGTAACTGGTCTTAGAGGGCACATATAAAAATAGTTATCTCCAGATCCTAAATACGCCGACTGACGGCAGCCAACAAAAATAAACAAACGTCTAAGTCTTTATACATAAAGACATGAAAACACTTAGTGTAGGGAACAGAACACGAGTGGAGAAAATCGAATGTATTTGACACGAATTTGCAGGGCATCTCAATAAAATATGAGAACCATAAAGTAAATCGTTAGTTTGCAAAATATTAATTCATCGTCTCCAACTTGACTGTTGCTTTTGCAAATATCAGTCCATAGTCTCAGATTTCATTGTTCATGCATTTCCGTACCAAGTGAGTTCCGTTTCCGTTCTTTCCTTATCGATCTTCTATTGAAATACATTCTATATCTGACCACCGTTATATACTACTTATATGGATATAAGTAACACACACCACAGTAGTTCTTCAGTGTCAAATATCTAAAATTACTCATTTGTTCACACTCTTTGTCCAATAAAATACGATCAACATTGAAACATATCTTAATTAAGACGAATAGAATTGTTCATTCAAATTTAACCTATTAATAAAAAGGTGATATTAATGTGGATGTCATACCTTGTGTAGTCTTTGACATACCCTTTACTTATTTATATTAGATTCAAGTATCAGGTTGTAATAAGAAAACTCAGAATCAAAAATGAGAAATGGCATTCAGATTTACTAACTGTATAATCTGTGGTCATTCACTTGCAAGAGTTGGTTTTGACTACAATTGGAATTTTAACTTCTACCCCTGAAATTCCTGTATAATGCAGCATATTATATTGATGATCATTTTAGTTAGCATATTCTAAATAAAACTTGATTCATGTACTGGTGTGTGCACTGTTAATAGGTCAAATTTTTACAGGATAAGCGGGAAAAAAAGCAGATAGAATGGGGGGAAGATGAGGATCATCCATAAAAGTATTTTAACATTTAGAACTCAAATGTTTGAAATAAGTTTTGATCATAAGATATGCAAACGTATCCGGTGACATATTTTGATCTATCCACATAGAATAGTTGAATGTGTTAATCACTTTACTTGTAAGCACGTAATCATGCTTACTGATTATATGAGATAACTATGACTAGGGTGAACTGTCCTACTTTGTTTAAAAAAATAAAATATGGGGTAGGATTATGTTATACGAAACTTTTTCATGTAGAGTTAACAAAAAACGACGCCATAACTTTGGCCATAAGTACCAGGTTGCATTGGTAAGACTACTCTTGACCGGTAAGTTGGAGTATATGTAACCATTCACCAGTGACTTTCATGAGAAATCAGCTGTAATTGGTCATTGTGCAACTCAACGTTCGACGCTGATGATATTGAAAAAATGCATCACACTGATAAAAAAACATGCTATTATTTTATAACTTGCAAATAACTTCAGAAAAAATTATGAGCGTTCTGAAAATAGATGCATGGGCACAAAATTTTGTTAATTCTTCGTGAAAGTTGCAATCATTATAACAAATATGCTATGAACTTTTGCAGAACGTCATTGCTCAGAGTGAATAAAAAAAGAGAAAGATAATTTTGTTTTATAATCCTCATCAACCTCTCTATAAAACCTGACAAAATTTTGTTTCCAGACTACATAGCAAGCATTTTTCTTTCAAAGCTGAAATACAATCAAAATGATTATGTACAGAATGTATTGATTAACAGAGATTTCAAAACTTCTTTAGTTAGTACAGGGTTCATTTTAGCTCTCAAAAGACCGGGATACTGGATGAATTTACTCAAAATATGACAAACCTACATCATTAGAATAAAGAGTTGTATAACTCATACACACGACAGAACCTAATGTCTGTTATTTATTTTAGGTCTGAATACTTTTCAGAATAATAATAGTTCTACTTCTGTGAGATGAAAAAACTGAGAAGTGAAAACTTTTTTGAACAAAACTAAATGTTGTGTGGGTATGTATAATGAATAGCATTATCGTATTGTTGTGTTGACCTACGCTCGAGTAATAGGAGTTAGTTGTAAGGTAAGAACTGACGTTTTGTTGAAATATGTGTGATTTAATGTTGAAAGCATTCAACTATCAATTTATAGGTTATGGATTTGAGTGCTTATCCAAATATTTCGATCTAAGTAACCGGGTAATATTACTAGCTACTATAAAAATGTATGCTTTAAAGCATTTAACATAAACCGATTCTTGGTTACTGAGCTGTATTAACAAGTTAGGATACAACTGCATTTGGTCGACTAGCTTTGGATGAGATCATTTTATTAGTCATCAGATCACAGTCTTTTATCTGCTAAAATGTATCAGCCACTTAAGTTAAAGAGACCAAAGATAAGGATATACAATTAACTCTTTTATTCGCTTGTTATTTTATAATATTTTGTACGTAATATCGGCAAAATACAATTATATGGATTTATTTAATAAGGCAGAAAGTCAATAAAAAGTCATGAATTTACATTCAAATGTTATTAACAATAATAAGTTCTAAAGAAATCAATAAAAAAACACTATAAACAGTAAACAATAACAAGTAATAATCGTTTCAAATTAATAATCGACGAATAATCAATAAATTTAATGTTTTACTAATGAGTATTTTATTTATCTTCTCTGCTCATTTCTGTCACACATTTTCTTGTATATTTTTAATCAAAATAATCTTACAAATAAAGCTTATGTGCACTATATAAAAACCATTTGAATGTCATCGTATCTTCAGTTCATGTATTCAGGAGTACAATACCGAATCTAGACATAGCAATTAAAATGTTTTCACTTTATTTGGGTCATATACAATATAACATATATACAGTTATATCCCCTAAACACAACTATATAAAACACATGACATTTAAAATTCACATTCATCAGAATCCCATGTATAAGTTTCAATTTGTTCCTCAGGTAGATCCATTTCTTCATCATAAGTAAATTCTTGTTTTGTGGGAAGAACTTCGTTTCGTTCGGACAAATTATTCATAACAGTTTTATTTCTAGATAGTAAAGTAGAGGACAAATACTGCAGAACCTGAAGATAAGATTTCAATTAAGGCAGTAAAGGAATAATAATTTATGGTTGATCAAATTAATTTGAGATTAATAACATTACTCAAAATTTTTATGAAGCAAATGTTTTTGTTTTGGACGTTGCTACTAAGTCAATGGATAATTATTTTAAACATCTCGTAGTTTCAGTCATTAAAATTTATAGATGTGAAACTTAGCCAGTGAGAGTGGGGGATATTTGTAAATTAATGATATTCCATCATAGGTGTATAGGAAGCATTGCTCAGGCATTTAGGGACCACGGAGTAAACAATGCCTGGGCGAGGAATAGAATACTAAGTAAAGGTGTCAAATCAATTAGTAAGGTAGTAAATCTTCGTCAACTGAGGTTGTCAGAATATGTGTACCTACGCTTAACTACCACCTACTTCGACAGGCGGTGCATTAATGGTGTAGAACAAGGCTCGAAGGAAGTCTTAGTCATAAAAAAACACAAGAAAAAGTAGTCAGTAAAATTTACAAGTGATGCATTTATTCAATAATTTTGCACTCTTTTTTATAGTATCTACCGAAATACCACAATCATTATATAGGAGAGCGAAAGCAAATTCTTTTTTAATATTTATTACTTACGAAATAATCACAACCAAGAAACACTAATGTACGGTAGCAATAATGATGGAAATTCTTAATCACTACCTAAAATGAATCTCGGAGTTTATGGGAAAAAATTGACACTACAAAAATAAGAAAATGAAACTCAGATATTAACAACATAGGACGTTTTATTCGATTTTCCATT